CCCGGGACCCCCCTTTCTCCCCCGGGAGCGGGACTTGGAGCGCGGCAGCAGCCGGTAACAGCGCCGCGGATGGCAGAAGTACTTTTCCTTCCCCGAGGTTACTCAACTCCTTTCGAAATCGTTTAAAACGAGCCCGGTGCCGTTCCGGGAATCGCCTCCCCGCCCGCGGAGCAGAGGATCACGCAGCGTGTGGGCTCAGAGGACCCGGAACCGGCCCGTGCGGAGCCCTCAGAGCCAGGGGTTCGGACAGGAAGGCTCGGAAGCGAGCTGTTCGGTTTGGGCCGGGCGCTTTGGGGTTTGGGCAGTTTTTTTTCCCCAACGTGTCCAGATTCAGCAGTTTCCATAGTTTCTGTTGGTTCTAAATTAGAAAATATATGAAGTTATGTCCCTGCTTGCAGGCTACGATTTGCAGCTTGTGAAATTATGTGAAAGTACTGTATTCCTTATAGGCCCACATGGTATGTTATTATGCCCTTCTTCTGTCATTTCTATATGAAAATATGTTGGAAGGCAGAAATCTCAGCTTTAAGTCGTAAATAAAAATGGACCAATTTCAAGTTTCTTTTAAGGAGAACCTATCTGCTCGTTTTGAGAGGCTCTTTTCGTATTTACAAGGAGAGATTTATCCAGATGTGCCCTCTCCTGCTTCAGAAATGCAGATATCATTTGTATGTTGCATAGAATTACATTAATAGTAAGTATCCCAAATTACCTGAAGGAGTTTGTGGAACAAGGATGACATTAAAATACTAGTAAAACTGCCTATTTAAAAAAAAAGAATTAAAAAAAAGGATGTAATGCTCCTTTAAAATTCATCACTCTAAAGTTAAATTCCTTCGTTAGCGATCATACTATGAGGCAGGAAATTGTGTTAGATGAGCAGTAAGATGTGTGTTACTCCTTTTAAGATGGGTGGGACAAAGTCCCCCTGACCGGAGAACCTGTAATCTAAGGACCGGGGCATGGATTTGAATTTCTGCCTACAGTAACGTGGTGGTGTATTAATTGACCAGCAAAGGGAGCGATTTACTGTTCAGCTTAGGGAGCACAGAGTGGGAGCTAAGGGGTCTTATCTTTTGACCCTTCATGGGCCAGAGCTGCCATCGATAATTATTGGAACTTCTAAATGTCTCCTGGTCTGCCCTTTCATCTAAATCTCCTCCTTACGGTGATGCACAGGGCTCTCTCCTCGGCTTCCCAGTTCTTGTGACAGCCCGCTTCGTCCAGGACGCCTCCACATGTCACCACGCGTGTCCTTCGTGCAGTTGCCGCTGACAGTCGCGTTGCGTGTCAAAGAGTGGGCATTACAAGTTGTGTAGCAGCCCTTTTGTATAATGGCTGAAAAAATCAATTGAAAGCAGCAATTAAGAAAGATGGAAATTACTAATTACTCTCTTAACTTTTTTCTTTTCAAATTTAGATACAAAATCAGTTGACAAACTCGCTTTGCTGCTGCTACTTATCTCATTTTAGTCTGCAGTCACAGCCAATGTTTTCAACCAGAAAGAGTAAGACAAGAAGTACTTTAATTTTAAAAATTAAAATTTTAAAATAGGGACTGGTCCTTTACCTGTACAGTTGCAACAAGTGTAAACTGCCCAATCTTGTATAGAAATTGCTATGACCAGATTTGGGGGCATGAGTTAGTCTGAGCATAATGGTTTTGCAAATTATGCCTGTAGATTAAATGTGACCCTAATTTATATAGAAGCCCAGACCAGAAGTTGTTCTTGATTTTTTTTTTGATAGTAAATGAAATCTTTTCAATCCTGTAATTTTTTTTTTCAAAAGACAGAAATTGTAAATGATCGAAGCATATAACTTGTGCCAGTAATAACAGAGATCTGCTTCTAGCCCGGATAGACATTACTTTTACTTTTGGGGACGTCACTTACATGTTTTACACCTTACTTTTCTCAAAAATACTGGGATTACTAGGTGTGCTTCAGTATTCTCTGTGTGTGTTATACTTTTTAAAGATTGATATTTCATTATCTGATATAAAGAAAAACTTAAGAGCTAACAGACAGGAAAGCAACTGCCATTTTAAACTTTTCTCCCTTTGCATTGGATTTACATTCCACTATCTTTTTATTTATTTTTTAAAAAAAAGTTTGCAGTTGCATTAGAGCTACGGGTAACTATTTTCATCAACATCTGCCTGCGTATTCTCTTATGGGGGAGATATTTTTGCTCTGCCATCTCCTGATTCATTCGTGTTTATGTGATACAGGATTCTCTGCCAAAGTTTTAAGAGTTTCTTGGAATTCCAGTCATGTGACAGGATTATTCAATATTGGGCTGGAAAGCAAATACCTCCTCTCTTGGGAATTCCAGAAAAAGAGGAGAAGAAGGATTTATTTTTTCTATGCTGAAACAGTTTGCTTGGTTTTTTTTTCCTTTCTAAGCAGCAGCAAAGGCACTTGTGTTCTTCTAAGCAAAAGGTAGTCCTGTGCTCAGTCACGTTTTTTCTGTTCCCAAAACATGAAAAGCTCACCTCCTGAGTAACAGTTTCCTTCAGTATTTATAAGAAATTTGACCCAAATGCATCCAGCAGTAACTGCCTCAGAGAAGGCCACAGAAGAGTTTCCAGTCTAATCTTCTGTTTCTGCTAACAGTGTTCTTATCCCTTTATCTCTAAGGTGGAAATTTTCCATGTTTAATCTTTAGAAGTTTGTGGTCTTCTTTACGAAGGAAAGTGATTTTTCTCTCCCTTACTCAACTGAGAAAAATGTGGCTGCTGCCAGCCTCGGATTTATTCTGTTTGAATGTTTGACAACAAATACTCAGCAGCCGTGCTTGAGAACCTTCCCAGTTTTAGAGAGGAGTTGTTTGAGGGGATGTGGCTTTGGTATCCTCTGTCCTTCTAGGTAGGAAGAACAGTACCTTTACCTTAATTGGGACACTGGAAATAATGTTTTCTCTTGGCACAATTTCAGCACAGCATGTCCTACTGAACCTGGCCAGTGTCAATGATGGCAAGACTCGCGAGTGCTGCACCACATGCCTTGTGGATCCTTTTCTTTTCATACACAACGAATGAAGGTACATTTGTCAATATTTTAAATTATTGTACTGACGTTTCTGTCAAGAGCGTTTTCCTATCACTAGTAGGCAACACTCTTACATTAATTAACTAATATAAAATATGTAAGTTCAAATGTTAGAAATATGTGTGTACTAAAATAAATTCTTAGGTTTTTGTTTGTTGGGGTTTTTTTTACTTTTTATTGACCTTTTCCATATAGGCAAGAAAACCAGGAATTTACAGGAAGGAGAAGCTGAGGTTTGGAAAGTCGCCTCCCTGTTTCCCCGTTTCCTAATCTGTTGAACCCCTTGCTGCAAACAGAGTGCTCTGCAGCGACCCAATGACATCTCTGCAGAAATCCCCTCAGGGCAGACAGCACTAGTCTCCCATTTGCCTGTTTCCATACCTGCCCCAGTTTGCCAGGCAGGACCTTAGTTAACTGCATGTTAAGTTTCTTCATTGTGTTATTCTAGTTGAGGATTAAAAAAGAAATCCAATATTTCAGTTCCCTTTAACTACACAAACTGAAAACAATCTCTCTGCTGTATGTGATTTCAAATGAAAGTTCTCAGATACCTGAGGCTTAAAGAAAATACAGTGTAGCAGAGATGGAAAAGGGAGGAAGTCACAGGAATACAGAAGGTAATTTATAGTTCTGAAAAGATATGAGGACACAGAGAGACAAGTTGCTGACCACCATAACACAGCAGGAAGAGTTTAATTTAATTTAAGAATTCCTGAAAGTGTAAGATCATTAAGACATTGATAAATAATGACATACATCTTTAAAGTGCTTAAAATATTGGTGCTTTTACAAGTGCATCTTGAAATTAAAAAAAAGAAACTATCAATTAAATGACAACCAAATACAAACAACGGCAACACTATAAATAGATAAGGGTTCTTATAAAATCAAGGAGCAGCATGACTGTTACAGTATTGCAGAGGTTTAATCTTTGACTTGAGTGAGTATTCTTAGGTACAAGTTAAATACCTAGCCTTACTAACCAAACCAAAACATTTTCTGAATATTTGGATACCAATGAAACAGTGAGCTGCAGTCACTTCTGAGTTTATAACCAGACAATATACCAGAAAATTTAGGTTATGACTTTGAGAGAGTTATTTTAAAATATTTCCTTGACATTTCCCACGTATCTGTAATTGTGTAAATGAGCCTTGCCAAGGTCATTGAGCTTACTCAAGGGGTCCAGGACTGCTTGGTGGCCAGATTTTGTGGGAGGCCTTTTAGAAAGGCAAATGAAAGCGATGTGTGGATTTTAATAAGGGTGAAAGACCATATGCTGACAGTCCTAAACAGTTGTTTCTCAAGTGGTCAGCTTTTTATTGAAGTACCAGAGGGTCTGGTGGTAGATCCTGTGGTATGGTTTGAACCACGTCTGCTAAAAGGCATCTGACCATCTGTTTATTGCATTCGCAGTTACTGTGCTGTGTCAGAGTATGCAGGAGTTATATCAGAGTAGATAACACAGGTGGACTGAAAAAAGTAGAAATGTAGAAAGGACAAAATGAAATATTTTTTTTCAACGACAGTAGTTTTTGCTTGAGAGGAATAATCTGAAACTGAGGTATTGATTGGAAAAAATAAGCCTGTGAAGCAGCAGTGGCTGAAGGACAAGGACCTTACGGGATGTGAATTTTTGGCAACTTAACCTTGAATTTGCAATGCAAATGACAAGAATGGAGAGGCAGTAATATGCTGGGCTGTGCAAACAAAATTAGCCCTTGTATAATTGCCACACGAACCTTCTAGCAGAATCCCTTAGAAAACTATCAGAAAAATATCAATCAGTAGGATCTAAAAACCTGTCAAAGATAGTCTAAATTTTTATGGGGAATTGAGATGTAGAGCAAGAGAGAAGGATTTAGATCTGTACAACTTGTGCAAGAAAAGGGAGGTATTGTTAATATTTACCAATAACAGAATTCACACGTCAAAGAAGGCGAATAAAAGTGTGGAATGATAAAAGTATTATCTGTTGCTGACTGCTTCATTTAGAAATGACCACATTTCACTACCATGTTTGGCACACTGTTAGTCTTAATAACAGCATGACCTCACTGTTGCACATCTCCTCTTCTGCTCCTCACTTCACTCATGTGAAGCGTGAGTGTGAGTCTGCGTTGAGATAATGGGAAGTGAGGCTGAAATACCGAGGATTGTGTATTGCATTTCCTTTTCCAGTTCTGACAAAGACCATTTGAACCAATTTTGTAAATAGAAACATTGGGAGTGCGTTGGGGAAGCTTAGAACTGTTGTAGATAAAGCACAAGTCCATGCCTGTAGGCAGCGATCTTGGTCTGACTTGGTTAATTATCTGCATTTCGGCCTTTGAAGCTTTTGTATTGCTGCATAGGATGGTGCTGGTTTATCAGATTTTCTACACTTGGAATACTGTGCAGGATGAGTTTTGCCTTTCTGTTTCAGTATTACTACTGCAGACTTTCTTCGTCTTCAAGACTGGAGACATCTCCAGAAAGGTGGAGGCATTTGGTGGCATGGATCTCTTTCCATTTACCCAGAACGTGAAAAATAACAATGTTTTCATTTAATTTGTAGGGGGTTGGTAGCTCTGATTAGATGGAAAAGATAATGTTTCTCCTAGTTCAGTTTATTCTTTCGATTCTCCTGCGTCTCATCATTTGCTGCTTCTCCCTAGTTATGGCTGCAGGACGTGTACAGGAATTTGCATGCTTCACTGACTATGACAAAGAGCTGATTTGTCACTGGAAGGTGCCTGCACAAACAAATTGCTCCAAAGAATTCCTGCTCTACTATGAGAACGAATTTTTATTTCTGCCGTAAGTGTTTAATAAGATGTTTCATTATTATTACTGGAACTTCATGTATCTTATAGCCATTATCAGCTTCAATTTCCTCTACCATGAGTGTCTGGGATGAAATGCAATCCAGATTATTCTGCTTGCCAGGAGGAAAATGGGTTGCTGCAGCTAACAGCAGTTCAGTGTTCAGTGGTCCACACTTCTGCAGACCTCTCGGTGCAGAGGAATGATCAAGTCCTACTTGTGGAGTGGTAGGGCTCCCATAAGTTTACCCAACCTTCATTTCATGCAAAATTTTACCTCATTCAGGAGAAATCTTACCTGATTTTCCAGTCTGTAGCCTGTATGAAAGATACTTTCCCCTGGAGTCCGGGTTATTATCTCTACATGCAGTCTAATTCCATATTCAAGCACAGACTTTTGTCTCTGTTCTGCAACAAGGACAGTAGTCATCCTACGAAGGAAGATGCATCTGGGCTCTCCATATGATTACTCCACACAGACATCCAAATAACTTTGCTTTGTATGCTGTAGTAAACCTGTTCCTATACGAGCAAGCTGTGTTAACTTTTCTTCTTGGGATCAATCCCTAGCCTTTTAGTTTGTGCGATACAGATACCCCAGGGATGTTTGGGGAGAATGGGTTGTTTGGGAGTTTGGGGGAGCTCAGTTACAGTTTGGATTTTTTTGGGCTAAATTCCTGTAGGAACTGAACTTGTTTGTCTCATATTTGATCAGCTCTCCACACTGGAAAGCTTGGTTTCATCTTTTCAAGAACTAGCATACTCTTTGAACATCACGTAATTTTTTGCCTGTTTTTCAGAAGGAATGTATGTGTCCCTGGGAACGTAAAAGACAGTTCGAGGTGCACTTGCACAATATATCCGGATTGTTTTGTATCAGGCCTCACCTATATGCTAGCTCTGCAGTTCAATGGGACTGATACATGGAATTACAGTGTTACACCATCTCTTGTTGGTAAGAAACTGTTTATTTTGTCACTAGGATGTCTGGTTCCAGGCTTTGCAATCCCAGCTAACTCCTTGTTCATGTCACTGGAATGTTTTTTCCTTGTCAGAGGTGAAAAGTGCCATGCTGTCTTAAATGCAAAATCCATTTGACATAGAAACCTGATTCTGGAGTACATTCTTAAGGAAAAAGTACAAGTAGTGGGGCAAGCAGAGAGTGGTTCTTCCTCTAGCTGTATCCTCTCAACTGCCAGTCAGCAGCAGTTTGAGGGCTTACATGTCTTTAGTGCATTTTACTTGGAGCTGTAGAATTCAAGGATGAAGAGGAATGTGCTGTTTCCAGTTTCTGGGAAGACTCTGGGTTATCCCTACCGAAATTTCTTCCTGCCTCTGTCATACTCTGATTTTTCATGTTAGCTTTTCATGTTAGCTGAATCATCGCCCCAAACAGAGATTTTTACATTGATTGCTGTTGAATTATAACTGCCAGTGACTCTGCTCTTTCACAGGACAGAGCATAGACACAGTTTATATGTCTCTGTATAGACACCTGGGTTGTTTAGAATAATGTGCTTGTTCATAACACTTGTCACCTCAGACACTCAGAGAAGTCATTCACATGCCTTAGGCAGGCATTCGTCTGCCTCCACGAGCTGATTCTTTTCAGAATACTTGGTTGTTGTTGCTGCGTACCAGCAGAATAAGCAGGAGCCTGCATCAGTTTCTAAGAGACAGGTAGCCTGGACAGCTTGGCTGCGAAGTTGTCGGAAGCTTCTGTGCCTGCCCCATGGCACAGCTGCTATTTTGAGGGTCAGGCTGTTCCCATTTTTCCAGGCTGAAAGGTGCATCCAGTGCACCAAAAGACTGAACTTGCAGTTTATTCAGCCAACTTGAAGATTCAGTGCTTGTTAATGAATACGTTGCAGTTGCTCTGTTTTGGCCTCTCTGTCCTTGTGCCACAGCGTAGTGAAAAGAGCTAAATGCATTGACTGCGGTGAGATTCTGGTCTCTGGTGAGTGTTTGTCTCTCTGCTTATCCCCATCAGTGCTTCACCATTGCCATGTTCTCCTTAATTGTATTTTTTAACATACAGTTAAGCCAAGGGCCCCCAAAAATCTTGCCATTGAGAAAACTGAAAATGGTAATTTCAATCTGAGCTGGGAGGAGAGCTACTCTCCTTCCTCCATGCTCTCTGGAAAGCCGGTCATCTATGAAGTGAAATACTGGAGGAAGCAGCACCCTACAGAGGTAAGAGGCAGCCAGTCTCTTCATTGTCTCTCTGGAGCTTTCAGGTTTAAAAAGTTCCTCTGAAAACTCTTAACCATTTCATGAATAATGGTGTAGGGGCCAGCAAGGGCAATTCACACAGTGTTCCTGATCACACGGTTGCGACAGGTCACATTGCCCCAGCATGGCTCAGCTGGGCTGTAAAGGATTGAAGCTCTGCCGCTCACAGCAGACAGGGCAGAGATTGAAAATATGATGCCTCTATTCCCTGAACTTCATTTGCTCCTTATACATCAGGAAGCCAGAGGCTGTTCATGACTCTGTGGTGTACTTCAGGCATTTCAGACACTCTGCTGAACTATTCAGCGCTTTAGGGCTGGGCTCTCTCTGGTAAGGGACGAACACACAGGGTGGCATGTCAAAACCAGCACCTGCTCATGATGACGTAATGCAGTATTGCACACGGCAGATTACGTATGGAGTCATTCGTTTATTCATTTATGAAAGGTCGCTGAAACACGTAACACTATTCAGTTCCTGTCACTAACACTTCACCTTATAAAGAAATCAAAGTAAACTTTCTCACTTTCTTTTCAGGTTTCTATAAAAGCAATTAACTACGAGGCAAAAAGCTTTGAAATTACTGCAAGCTCCTTGAGGAGAGGCTATGATTATGTTGCAAGTGTAAGGTGTAACTATACAGGCTACCCAGCCTACTGGAGTGAATGGAGTGAAGAAGTTGAATTTCACTGTGGTAAGTGTTGTAATGAATAGCAGCCTGATAAAGGGGTGGTACAGTTTTATAAACCATGTGATGAATACCTTGCTGCTCTCCTCTAAGAGGAGAGTAGTTATGGAATCATCATGGTGGATGAAAAACGAAATACGAGCCAGCAAGGTGTGCTCACAGCCCAGAAAGCCAATCTCATCCTGGGCTGCATCAAAAGCAGCATGGCCAGCAGGTTGAAGGAGGCGCTTCTGCCCCTCTGCTCTGCCCTTGTCACGCCCCACCTGCAATTCTGCCTTCAGCTCTGGGGCCCCAACATAAAAAGGAAATGGAGTGAGTCCAGAGGCCATGAAGATACTCAGGGGGCTGGAGAACCTCTCCTATGAGGAAAGGCTGAGAGAGTTGGGGCTGTTCAGCCTGGAGAAGAGAAGGCTCCGGCGAGACGTTATAGCATCCTTCCAGTACCTGAAGGGACTACAGGAAAGAAGAGGAGGGACTCTTTTATCAGGGAGCATAGTGATAGGATGGGGAGTAACGGTTTCCCATTGAAAGAGGGTAGATTTAGAATAGATACTAGGAAGAAATTCCTTACTGTGAGGGTGGAACAGGTTGCCCAGAGAAGCTGTGGAAGCTTCCTGCTCCCTGGAAGTGTTGGATGGGGCTTTGAGCAACCTGGGCTGGCAAGAAGTGTCCCTGCCCATGGTGGGGGGTGGAACTGGATGAGCTTTAAGGTCCATTCCAACCCAAACCGTTCTGTGATTCTATTGTATTTAAACTGAAGAACAACATAGAGGTAAGAACAAGGGGGGATAAAGGAATAAGAGATATTTAGACTGCAAATCAAGCACTACTTCTAACTTCCAGGGGGCTGAAGGTTTATAGAAATCTTTGAAGAGAAATAGAGAGGACAAGAAGCCTAGCTGCACTACAGTGGAGATGATAATGCTCTTTTAGGGACAGATTTGTCCCCGAGAGCTGACAAATAGCCTCACAGTACACGTTGGCTCTCCCAGCTCCTAACACTCACAGTAACTGACTGCAGTATCTGCTCTGATCTTTGAGACATGCCACACACCCTTGTCACTGCTAGCTGCGTGTGTGTTCTGTTGTTTATCTCCTGGAGGCTTTATCTTACATCTCAAAATGAGTGAGTTTTTAAGGTGCAAAAGAAGAGCAATTAATTTGGTATTGCCAGTACTTGTATTTGTATGCACATACACGTGTAAACATACCTGCTTATTTAACAGGTTACCAAATAACAGCTGAAGGCATCCTGCGTATGGCTGTTCCCGTATCCTGCATACTGATCATGGCAGTGTCTGTAATTTTTTACTTCTGTTTTACCAAGTATGTATCACACTGTTCACGGGTTTTATAGAGTAGCAGTTTGCACAGAAATCAGTATTGCTTTTGATTAGCTGAGTGTCTGCTCGTACAGGAATCTACTGTTTTGTTCTTCCTCGGCACCTTTGTCTTGCTCTCTCTGAGCAAACATTTTATAAATATGAAACAGTTGCACAGTGTCATTTTCTGAATAGATAACTGAATATTCTCTGTTAATCTTACTAGAATGGGCTTGGTTTAGCATCCAAAACAGTTACGCTATTTGTCAGTTTTGGACTCCAATCTTTGCTGGAGTTCCAGTAATAATGGTCAAATGCCTGTATTTCTTTTTGATTTTTTTTAATGGTTGTGTGAAAGTGGGATCCCATCTGTTTCACACATCTTTTCAATCATGATTAGAAGAACGTGTGACTGTGGTGGTACAGAGCAGTGACACACCAAACATAACAAACATCTTTGCACTTGTTTAGTGAAAAGCAGCACTTGGAGATGCACAGAGCAAGCACTTCATGTTGCTGTGATGGCTGAGAGGGAGAGAAGAACAGAAGAAGGCTGTGGGCACTGATTAAGCCAAAATGCAGTCAGCACAAACCATTTTAATTCTTCCTTTGCAGAGTGAAGAAAGAATGGTGGGATCAAATCCCAAATCCAGCAAACAGCCATTTGGTTGTAAAAAATGTCAAGGTAACCTAAAGACTTTGCAAAAAACACTTTTTCCTCATCACCAGAAATATAATGTGTTATAAGTGCTATTGTCTGGCTAGTGCAAAGGATACTAGATATAATTCATGTGTCCTAAATCTCATTTATATCTTTATTAGTTTTCAGTTTTGTGCTACATTGATGAAATTAAGTTCCCTTTCCATGACTTAAAGCAGAATCACACAGAAAACCAAATGTAAGTAAGATAAAGCAAAAAAAACCCCAACCTCTGCTTTACAGCATAAAATAGTTTCCTGTTACATAAACATTAACTGTCCTTTCCTTTTGACTTTCAAAAACAGGAGCTGCAAGAACTGTCTGGCTCAAAGTTTGTCAGGCCAAAACTTCAAGGTGCAAAACATCAGGAATGTTGAGAAATCTTGCAGATGCCACAGCAAGTCTGGAGAGTGGTTTCCAAAAGGCAGCAGTGCAGTTTTAACCCCTGAGAAAATTCAGGTTGAGGAGTCTGTAGAAGTCTGTGAACGTTTAACAAACATTGAGGCTGAGAGTCAGGAAGAGACTAGTGACCAGCTCACTGTGATTGAGCCTTGTGAGAATAGTGTCAGTGCTTTCAGAGAGCACACTGAACACAATGATGTACTAGCTAGCATGTTTATTGACATCCTGACAGATGAAAACAACATGCAAGACAATAAAGACCCACGCATCATCACAGGTGAGAATCAAACTTTTCAGAAACTTCAGTCAGAAAATCCATCACAGCAAAATCCAGAAGAAAGTGCAGCCCAAAGTCAGCAGCCATGTGATCTTTCTCATACAGTCCCCCTCTTCACCAACGCCTCACAAGATGACTACAACTGTAGTACAGGCAGCAAGAAGTCAGAACAATCAGAAGAATCTTTTGAATCTGGCTATCGGAGCTCTAGCATAAATTCTGCTCTGGATGCAAGAGATCTTCAACATATGGTTAATCAAAGCCTTTTTGCATGCAGTTCTGAAAGTCAACAGGACTCCTGTGTCCTGATCCAGGAATCTCCAAATAAACTATCCTTTGGGACAAAAAAAGACAGAGTAAGCAGCCCTGCATACAGGAGTTTTGATACCCTTGTGTCTTCATCCAAGGGGCTGTGTAGTTCTGCATATAAGACTTTTGACACCCTTATCTCTCCATCAGTGGAGCCCTGTGGGTCTGCCTACAAGAGCTGTGACACCCTTATGTCTTCATCCGTGGAGCCCTGTGGGTCTGCCTACAAGAGCTGTGACACCCTTATGTCTTCATCCATGGAGCCCCATGGGTCAGCCTACAAGAGCTGTGACACCCTTATGTCTTCGTCCGTGGAGCCCTGTGGGTCTGCCTACAAGAGCTGTGACACCCTTATGTCTTCGTCCGTGGAGCCCCATGGGTCAGCCTACAAGAGCTGTGACACCCTTATGTCTTCGTCCGTGGAGCCCCATGGGTCAGCCTACAAGAACTTCGATATTCTCGTGCCTGCATTTAAGGAACCAAGTAGCTGTGTATATAAGAGCCTTGATGTGCCTGCATTTAAGGAACCAAGTAGCTGTGTGTATAAGAGCCCTGACACCCTTATGTCTCGGTCTGTGGCTAGCAGTAGCCTTACTCCGTGTTTGGAAGATGTGTGCTCCTCACCACGTGTGACACGGTTTTCAGAGACACCAGAGCATAACTGCAGAGATCAAATCTATCGCCCGCCTCGCCACTACAGATCTCCCTGCACTGAGCTTGATTTTCAAAACACCTGTTCAGAACATACGGATTTTCCATTGTTCTCCACACATATAAATGGCAGTGCTTCAGCTTTCTTACCAGAGGAAGAAATACATAAGCAGGTAACCTATCAAAATGTTCAAAAGAAAACCAACATAACTTCTGGTCCCATTGGGCTTCAGCCGTCTGGCTATCAAACTTCTGATCGTGCAGTTAAATGTAATGGTACATACTGTGACAACAACAGTGAGTTTATCTCTGGGTCACTCTGTGAACCTTTCATTAATCTTTTGTACAAAAACCTGGGAGAAACACCTCTGGATACTGTAATCTGTGAACCTAGCCAGAGGACAGGTGACCCCCCAGGTTTGACTGTGGAGTGTTTTGACTGCAGCACTGTCCCAGGTTTAGCCTCTAGTGAGAATGTCACACAGACCAGTGATGGCAGCCTTTGGATCGTCAGCTCTAATGAGCTGTCTGGTGGTAGCAAAGATGAAGATACCAGCAGAAATGAACAGATGTTGCATTTGCTAGAGCTGAACCATCAGGATTTTAACAGCAGAGAAAGAACTATAAAGGAGACAAAACCTAACAGCTTTAACGATACTGGTAAAGGAATGCAAGAGAGCAGCAGCAACAGACTAAATATTGACTTTAACTGCATGCACAACCACTTCAGGAAACTTGGAAATGCAGGGGAAAACAAAGAGATGATAAAGCATGTGGTTGGCAGGAGGTGTGGCTCAGCAGCTGGCTTACCAGAAGAATCACTGGGCAGAACTGAGCTGAACTTTAAAACTGCAGAGCCTCTGGAGCTCCTCGTCTCAGACAAGTTGTCACCTTCTCTTTTTGTGGATGACTCCTGTCCTTCTCAGACCAGTCACAGTACGGGCTCCAGGCTGGCACCTGCAGTTAAAAAAAGACCAGTAGAACTATTGAGGGAAAACAACAGGAAGAATGAGAAAAAAATGAAACTTGTACAAGCCCTTGCACAGGAGGACAATTGCTACATGAAGGTAGCCTAGTCACACTTACCAAGACTGAACCAAAGCAGCCTGTGGAAATAAATGATATGGCAAATTGAAATGTCACTTGTTCTTCCAGTCTTACCTGAAGTGAAGGCTGCTGCGGTTCAGACGCGGGTTCGGTGAGTGGCAACACTCATGCCTGCTGCAGGGCTGACGCTGGCCTGTGCTGCCAGCCCCTGGGGTGAGAGGGGACAGCACCTTACCATCATAGCTACCACTCTGTCTACAAAGCTGAGGTTTCTCTGGCCGTGACTGTTCTCTGAAAGTAAGCAGCAGCTGCATAAAGCAGAAGTTCCTAGTCTAGCTCCTGTGGTTATTGCCCTGGCTCTGTGCTTTGCCTGGGAAGCACGCGGAGGTGAGGGGAAGGTGCTGACACACCTGGAAGTGGGACGGAGGTGCCTGTCAAAGGAGAAGGGACAACATCACACAGCTTCCATAATTTACTGGGAAGGAGGGAGGTCCTATGTGCCTTACCCCCAGCATGGGATATATGTCTCTATACTTGTGCAATCAAGACCTGAAATAAAGAATACTGTCCTTTGAGCTTAAGCAGTGCTGTTACTGATGATTCATTTCTTATTCTGTAGAAGCAAGCAGAGTTACTTCAGACTTCAACAGCTGTAAGCGGAATCAGACCTTTCTAAGTGCTGTTCTAGAAGGTTTATCCAGTTATGGTCAGACTGCTGAAACTGATGAAGCATTTTTTCAGCTGCTGCTTCTTGTCCAGTCAGAACAGGAATTACGACTGCAGCTTTAAGGCAGCATATCCTTCTTATTGGGCCATTGTTCCAAAAGTTTTACTCGTGCATCTCAGGGCATTATCACATACTTTTATATGGTAAATTCTACTCTAGTGTGTCGACAGCAGCACAAATTAATTAAGAACCATTAAGGAGTTTTATGTGTAACTGTTACCTTATTTTATGTGTATTCTCAGTACTTAGAAAAGCCCTGCATTGTCATTCCTAAGGAAGGAAACCATAATAATAAGTACAGAAACTGATTTAATGTTTTGTAAGTAAGATTTTTGTACTGCAAATCTCTCTTCAAAGTTCGGATTGGCTAGGAGCAGAGGTGTCTATGAATCAATTTTGAAGTAGTAAAAAAAGAGTATGTAAGCTCTGGCAGGAGACTCACAGTGAAGTGTCTGTAGATGTGAGAGCATTTGTGTAGGCACTGGTTTGTAGCTCACTTGCACTAAGGTGGTGGTTAGTGAAAGGTCTGACTGCTCACCTCATTCAGGTGAGATTTAATTCTATGAGAAATACTCTTTCTCTGCATGAGGGGAGTCACTGCTGTAGTGAACATCAGCACAGGCTGTGAAGTAGGAAGGCTGTGAGGCAGACCGATGAAGAGGTTTTCCGGGGCCCGCACTGAAATGGTGGAACAGGCTGTGGCCTGCCTCGTGAGTCAGCCAGCTCACTTCCCTGATTCCAAGCAAAGATGAGTTTAAGCAAAATCCCACAGCTAGTTATTGCAGCTGCGCGGAAGTAGCTACTCACCATTTCCTGCAGTAGTGTGGGCTGTTGAGGGACACCAGTGGCGCTTTCTTCCCCTGCTGCTCCTGCACCCTCCTGTGTGCTCCTTGCAAAGTCCTCCTGGAATCCTCGCACTTGGCTGGAGCAGGTGGGAGGGGTCTGCGCCGGCCAGGAGTGGGAAGCTGCTTGCTGCACCACTTCCCCGCTGAGCCCCGACTTCATTCAGCCTTTCTCTGGCTTTTTTTTCTTCTAAATAGCTATGACCTCCTCTCTGCTCATTTCCGTTGGATGGCTTTCTGTGCATGGGTATTCTTCCACTTCTCTCCCCTCAGTATTTCTCTGGTGACATTAGACTGACTCTAGGAGAAGGGTGAGTCCTGTTCTTATGCCTCTGTATAACCCAGGCTGGTGGTAAATGCCAGGGCTGGCTGCTGGCTCACCCTCTGCCCCACCGTGGGCTCTGTCGTGCTGTGGTGGGAGCCAAGTTCTTGTTCTGTCCTCCACTGTCTCTGCTTTTGCTGTCTGGAGCTGTTGCTGGGCTATAAAATGCAGGGAGGTTTCAAATGACAGATTTCTGGACCAAGATGATGATTTTTCCAGAGTGTGTGGGAGTTCCAACCTTGGGTGGCTCCCAGGGCTGCCAGCAGGTCATACTGGCCGGAGCCACGGCTCCCAGGGACCAGCTGTGCCCAAGAGAGGAGCTTTGCTCCTAAAGTCAGAATCTCCACGCATGTCCCTTTTAGCTAGTGGAGGGCTCCTAGCGGGTCGGAAAATTGCTGATTATAGTAAGTGATTTTCAGATTGTTTTTTAAGACTACTGTATAACTGGAGGCTTGTGCCAAGTTTTAGGGTAGTTATAATGCAATTTATTACTCACAATCTCTCCGCCTCCACATCTTTTTCACCTGGCTGCCTACCAAGTATAGCAACCTGACTCACCATGAGTGAAATGGTTCCTGAGAAAAGCAGGTGTATTCCCAGTTCAGGATAAACTAGTTCTTATACACTGCTTTTCCTTTGCAGAGAATGCCACAGCCTTGCTTTTCTTCCTTTCTTGTCTTTCTGAACAGTGTTACCTCCTTGGAAATCTGCACCTGTATGGAACAGCTGTTAGTGAATTCCTATCAATCACAAGGTTTGCCTACAGAAAACTAACAATAACCACAACACAAGAGCGAGCCTAGTACGGAGCAAGGGCTTGAGGATGTGGTGTCAGGTTCTTGGGGGTAGGGACAAGTTAATTTAGGGGGATGGAGGGGTCAGCTTTTTTTAATAAATTGTCTCTATATCTTGCTTGGAGACCCTGCATTGTTCAGGCAGGGTGCAAGGGTGTCCATCACAAGCTGTAAAGGAGCTACAAACCACCCCGAGCTACAAACTGTACCTAAGAAAACAAGTTCTTTTAGGTAGTGTATTCTAGCGGTGACATTGCCAAAGGAACAAAGGGCAAGAGAACAAAATGAAGGGGTTGTGACTTCCAAAACCCTGCTTCCTAATGCCTACGTGTGACTGTGGAATTATTTGACAAAACTCCTTAGTGAATAGAGACTGAGAGGACAGTTTGCTTTCTCCTAGCCCTGCCTTTTCTCTAGAAAACTCCTCAGGGAGCATGGCTGGTGCAGTTTGTATTCGAGCTCTGACAGAGCTGCTTCCAAAGTGTGTAATTTCACGTACAGTTGCTTTCACAAAGAATAGGTGATTTTGACTAATTTTCAGGAGAACTGTGCCTGTGCAATGCACAGGCATGTGCGCGTGCACACAGAGATCATTTCTTCCCCTCTGCAGATTGCTGAGTATAAGGTCTGCCACAGGCTGCTACATGATGATGTATCATGATTGCACATTACCTGGAATTTTATTTTTTTCACTATGCTGCCATGACTGAGGCAGCCGTTCATCAGAGGTTGCAGCCACAGCACGCAGCCTTCAAGGCCGCTCTGACTAAACTGTGGTGACGAGTTTGGAAGCCAAGTAACAGCTCCGCATAAATTTGATGACCATCAGAGCAGTGAGACCAATGAACCAGTCTGGTTTTCAGCTCCAGGACTACCGTCTCCGAAAATAGATTGCTCTAAAGTAAAGGGTAAAAAACAGCTGCATGAGGAACTTTAACCAAAGTTAAAGCTTGCTAAATTGCTTAGTGTGTTTTCCCAGAGTACTTAGTAACAACCGTCAGCAGCACTACTGGTTTGACAGCTCCTGACTATCCTCATTCCTTTCACTAGCTGGGTAATCAACATTGAGACGTCTCTGCTGTACTCTGGCCAAAGGTGCTTCACTGCCTTTGTCCTTTGTGCTGCCCCACTTCCATCCTGTCTCTTCTGTGTCTTTCTACAACATGGAAACTCCCACACAGCCACCTTATACCTCTCCGGGAAGGCTGCAACATGAAACAGAAGGAAAAGCTGGCTGCGGCCCTAGATGAGCAGCGTGGGGAACTGGCTGCAATGGCCCATTAAGTTGCAGAGGGGGACAAGCAGATGTTTTCTCTTTCTTTGCACTTATCCAGGATACTTTCTATAAAACTCTGACCATCTTTGCAGAACATCTAAAATTCCATATTCTGAATGCAGAGAGGCGATTGTAATGGCAAGAGCTAGTATAATACCAGCCCATGACCTGCAGCCTGTGTCTGGTAGAGGGATGACTGACTGCTCTAGACCTGCCCTGGTCCATGGAGCATGCAGGTGTCCGCAGGAGCTCCCATCCTGGTTCAGTGATGATCGGCTGCTTCCGTGGTCCTGTCTGTGCTCCAGTGTATAAGAGCAGGACATTCACAGCAGTGTGGTGTTTGTGCTCAGCTTAAAGGTTACTGAGTCAGTGACTAACATCGCTGGGACTTTCCTACTTGCTGCTGTTTCCCCAGCTCTTAGACACGGGGGGAATTAGTCATAAGCTGAAGAATTTGAGGTTGGCTGCTTCGCCTCAGCTCAGCCACTGCTGGTTTCACTTGCAGTGAGCCACCCACACAGCAACAAGAATTACAACAGGATGAGAAAGGACTGGACTGCCTTCTGTGGATAGAATTTCCACACCTGGCTCAGGGTTGTAACCAGTCCCTGGTTCTTGCCTTGATGCTCTAGAGAGCTGCTGTGAGAACCTGAGAACCAGGTCTGGACCGGCTGTGGTTGGCCCTGAAGTTAGTGCTCTTGGCCGGTGGTGAGCAGGGCCCAGCTCTCGAGGAGCTGGCTCTGGGAGGCTCACGCTGTGCTGTGTTCACCAACCAGTGCTTGTGTCTGATGGGCACGCGGTGTGAAGGTTGTGCAGAGCAGTTCGTTGCTGGGTGCTCTGCCCTCCCACTGCCTACCTGAGGCACTCCAGAAGCACAGAGGATGCTCATCCACAACATGAGGAAGGCAACAGAGCCATCTTTTCCAATCTTAATGATTTCATGATCAAGGGCTTCATTTCCTCCACAGTGGCAGGTATTGGGACCCATAGTTTAGCACGTGCTACCTGTTCCATGACCTCATTCAGAGCTGTGCTGGGCCCCTGCAAGAGACACTGTGGTCCAGCAGT